ATTGAGTTTTTTGAAATTAGAGTTGAAAAAAAAATTAGATATAATTTTACAATCAAATATATTTGTAATTATAAAAATCGGAAAAACATGCAAAAATTTTACAATAAAACGTTCTTTTGTTTTAAAATACAGAATGTAAAAATAAATCTTTACTTTTTATAGTATTAAGATTTTGCAGTTTGTTTTTCAAAATAAACTTACTTGTAAAAATAGTTGTAAATGAAAATGTTTACATTTAAAATGTTTGCAGATAAAATTAATCTTATCAAATATATTTATGTTTGTATTTAGATGAAGTATTTTATTATGAAACTTGTACTTTGAAGAATATTAAATGCAGAACAAAATAAATTACCAGAATAAGTATTTCTTGGCAAGGAAAATTTTTTAAATTGTGAGATGTTTATAACAGATTCTAGTCCTGCAGTGGACTGAACGCTATGACACGGTTTACAGTAAGACACCGAAATCAAACATCAGACTGCGGTCAGTGACCACTTCGATCAGTCTAAGAAGGGACCAAGGATGTGCGGTATTGGCTCTCATTTAACTGTTCTACCGTAAAGTGTTTGACTTTAAGCAAGGGTGCCATTCCTTCTGCAGAGGATAAAAATTGTGATGCCATGTCTTTGAATCATCCTCAGGGATGTTTCCCATATCGTCGCCAATAGCCCATTGTGCAGCTGTAGCGCAACGTAAATAAACTACAACAACAACCGATTCTAAATTTAAGAAAGTATAAATTCAGGGAAAAAATCTACCTTAGGATTGTATAAAGAACTTTTAATTTTATAAAGAAACGAATTTTCTGTAGTTAAAAACAGCAGAATAAGTAAATACAAAAATTTAGTTACTGATCACAGTGAAGCTTTAAATGTTTTTTTTGTTCATTGAACAGAACATTTAATTTTTTAGCAGGACAACTTGTAATCATTTACATCCTTTTATCATTAAAAGATACAAAAATAAGACTTTCTGTAAAAAAAGTCCCAAATGTCATTCATTGTTTTATTGAAGCATTCATGTTAAATTTCTCATCCTGTTTCAGGAGTCCACCAGGAGAATAAAAATTTTGCAAATACCTAATTTGATATTTTAATTTGTGGTAAGTATAACTTAAATATTTCCTATTCTCAGAGACTGTAGTATATTTATAAATGATTTATATATAGTTAATATTTTATAATAAGCTCTTTTAAACCTATTCAAACACTTTATTTTACTCATCATATGCAACAATACAAACTTGTTTTGTATATGACAGTTTTGTGCATTTTTTTTGTACCATGAGTACTTATGCCATTTGTGTTTGATGCAAAATAACTAATTCTGAGCTACATTTTCAAAAATGAGCAGCGAAAAATGTGTTTCAAAAAGCAGTTACATTCTAATTTTATCAACCTAACTCTAGGATTAAGAATTTATATAAACTGAAAACATTCCTACATTTATTTATTAGAATTAAGTATTAAAGAAAGTATGTGAAAAGAAAGTCACACAAAATAAAAACATCTTTAAAGATTTACTGGCTTTCATCTTTTCAAAATTTAAATAACTTCTCAATATTACACCTTTTATTAATTAGGTACAATTATCTAATAATTAAAAAAAGGTAAAATTAAATAGTGTATATTTTAATGTATATTTTTTGCTAGCCATCTTAAATAAAAATTCTAAGTTATTCTATGAATAATCTAAATTCTGGACAGTTGTAAGGATACTCATATATTTTTTAAATTTGTATAGTTTTTATTTTTAAAGTGGTTATAAGTTCACTTAAGGAAAATAAATGTTTACATACTACTAGCATTGAAAAAAGTTTAAAATCTGCAATGTCTGCCCTTGAATCAAAAAGTGCGATCAGGTTATGCAGTCAGATTTTTTAACAAAAAATTAGCATTTTTTAAGCACTCAAAAAAAGGTTTTTAATCATTTTCCAAAAAAAAAAAAATCATAATTAGGATAGTAATAAACTTTTTTTTTTATCGTTTAAAGTTCTTAGCTATAAACATAAAATCAATAAAATTCAAAAACTTTTACATAATCATGATAAAATACCTAGTTTCTGATAAATATTGCAGAGAAAATTGTGCATTTTTTGCAATTTAGAACAACAATCGTCACGGCAAAGAAAAAATCTCTCTTTAAAAGACAGAAAATTGAGCACTTTTTACAAACCCCGAATAAATAAAAAAGCACCTTTACGGGCTTTTAAAAAACTGAAATCAGAAATAAGCACCTTTAAGCACTTTTTAAAAATGCTAAGCACGCTGTGCAATTGTTGATTCAAATGCCAACGTTGCATATCAAGTTAAAATGGAAATAAAACACTTTCAAAAGTATTAACTCATTCCTTAAAGGGACGATTGATTTTACCCAACAAACTCACTTTAACAAGTGAGTAAAAAATATACAATTATTAAGAATTTTCTAGAACAGTGCCATTGGTAATAACACAATTTAAAATGTTAACTTTTTTAGAATATTTTGCGAAGAATGTAAAACATAATTTTATCTTGATTTACAGATGTTTGAATATAAACTTTATCAAAACTTATTGGATGTGAACTACAAAATTTAACTACATTGCTACAACAAAGGCCCAAGGAAATGCATCCCTGTTTTATATTTTACTACTAAGGCCAACTATCGAATATGGACTTCAAAATTTAGTGACAGAGGTACAACAAATGCCAGCATACACTTGCCTGTTTCTTTCAATATTTATTTGAAAAATTGTCAGAATAAAGGTTTTACTTTTTTAATAAGTTTCTTTTTTTAAACTCTTTTGATCACAAAAATTAAGAGAAAAAAATGCACTACTTCAGAAGTAATTTTTGTACTGAGAATTAAAAAAAAAATGATCAATAAGTCACAAGAAAGTGATTTTATTATGAAAAATTGTTTAAAATTCATTAAAAATGAGCACCTTTACAAAAATGACTTCAGTATGTACACATTTGTTCAACATATTAACTTATATCAAATTCTTCAGATCTGGAATCACAGATAAATTTATTTCTGTCCAATGGCAGCTTTCCAAAGTGAGACCACAGATGAATAAAGGGATTCAGGGGGCTTCTAAAGTGAGAAAATAATATTTAAAATTCTTAATTTTTGTTAAATTGGAAAACAAAAAAGCGTTGACAATTCTAAGTCAGATTTAGAATTGTCCAACAAATTTCATAGATTTTTAAAATTTTGTTATACAGAAACTCTTTTGTATAGACTCACTTAAAATGAAAATAAAATATCTTGCATTTTGTAGAAAGGATCCTTTGAGCAAAAAATATTTATTACTAATTTCGGAAAAAATTACCATAACTTTCTAGTTGTATAATTATTGTAACATTTAAATGAATAATCTGTGCAAGCTTATAAATGTTCTTGAATGAGGAATTTTTAAGTAAGTCTAATTTTTTAACGCTATACTTACAGCATTGAAAGGTTATTAATTGTCCCTTTCAGGCAAAAAGGAGCTCTGAATATTGAAAAAAAAAATTAGGGATATATAGTAATCAAGCCTTGTTTTTAAGCAAAGTTACTGCAAGTTATAAATAGCGATTTATTTGATTAAATGGTAAAATAGTAACAAGATATTACCGTATTTAAATAGACTGGAAAACTCAACCTTTATTATGAGCAATTAACAATAAAGCATCAATCTTTTAATTGATGACAATTCAATCTACAACCTTTCACTTAAGTGATAAAGTACATAGTTTTAAAGCTAACTTAAATTAAAAAAATTATCACTTGGAACCTATTAAAAAAATTTTGTACTCTCTGTACAATACTAACTGGTATAGGTTCAGTTTCAGGAACTTCAAGTATGTCCTCATCAGACACATGGACAAATTCGGCTTCACTGTTATCGTTGTCACTTTCATCAATTTCAGGTAAGTCTTTGAAAATAGAATCTTCCAGCGATTCTAGTAATTCTTCTTGTTCTTCCAAGCTCAAATACCTAGAGAATAAAAACACTTATTTATACAAATCCCAGTTATATCAATCATAAAAATTTAGTCAGCCGATAACACCAATCATAAAAACTTCAAAGTTTGAAAAATAATAAAATGAAACTTGTTACATTTTATTACATTTTGAGCTTGGGTGATTTAAAATATCCTATTATGGAAATTTTTACAATCCATCTACGTGCATAAGCTTCAAAATATTTTTTTATAGCATAAACTATAATTTGTTTACGTCTCTTTATTTTTAAACAAATTTGAAGCCTGTCATTTAATCACTTTTCTTTCAACAGTGTTCTACAGCCTGTGAACAATAGATAGAAAATTTTGGCAATTGAACTAAAGACATAATATTTAAGGAAATATGGGGAGAAGGAATACAATAACAAAAAATAATTCAGCGCCAGATTCACATTAGAATAGGAGGTGCAAAATTCTTTTCTTTGCCGAAATTGATGCCCCTGACTAGAAAATGGTAAAAAAAAGATGAAAATTCAGGTCATTTACATAACTGCCAACTGTTGAGGTCGTTGGGAAAGATTTTTTTAAAGTAGAAGTTTAATAATACTTAAAACTATTATTAACTTAACTATAATATAAACTTAATAACTTAACTATAATATAAACTTAAAACTATATTACCAACACTTTAACTGCTGCACACGTTTGCAGGGAAATCTCCTTCAGGACACGTGTATCGCTGTACACAGCGTATTCTGTTAATTACTCCCACTCATATTTTAATCATGTGAGTCTCTGAATTTAATAATGCGAGTCACAAGAATAATTTCTCGCCCCATTCTTATCTCGCCACTTACATGATCAGTTTGAAGGCTTGCTGAGTAAAGAAGAGTATAACTTAACCCCAATTTGTTGAAATTTTGAAAAGAAAAATGGGAAACTTATTTTTCAGTGGGCAAGAAAGCTTTAACGAGGCTCACAATAATTTTCTTAATAAACCATTTTTGTATTACTTTTATAACAATTTAATGGTTTTGTTACTTCCTGAGAAATATCTTTCAAAATGCATACGGATATCTTTCGCAAGTAGTCAAATAAGTGTCACCACAATATTGGTGAAGCAGTCTGATCAGAAACTTTGATGCGGCAGTCAACATGTTAAAGCAGTGCTCCCTAAACTTATTTCTGAGGGAAGAGTTTAATTGTATTTTTATACACGTCGTCAAAACAAAACTTAATTACATGTGCAGCATTGCTGTGGTTCTAAGTGACAGCTCCCAGTTAACCTCTCATCCACGGAAAGTTGTACAAACCCGAAAGAAAGACAACTCAGCAAATAAATTGGAAATAATTTAATGTTCTTCAGATGGCCCAGTACTGGTCCATGGCCCAGGGGTTTGAAACAGCAGCTTTAAAGCATATCTAATCTACAAATGTTCAGATTGATTGAAATAAATTAAAATTCATTAGTTAAAATGTAAATATTACCACCATTAAGAAAAAAAATTATCATCTACTGTACAAATTGGCACCAATGTATTTAATACATTTTTAAAATTGAATGCAATTGAATAAAAAATAATTTGTGAGAATCACATTACTAAATATAAATAGATAATTATTTCTTATGTTTTTCAAAATATAAATTGATAAATATTTCTTATCTTTTTTAATCACTGAATCGGAATTAGAAAACTAGAATCTAATACCTTACCTTTTTCTTTCTTAAATAAAAAATAAATTAGCATGCTATTTCAAAAGAATTGAAGAACTTTGATAACAAATGTGCTAAACACATAAAAAATTTTTTAATTAGAAAATACAAAGAGAGACAATTACCGTAATTTCATAAATATAAAACTTTACAGATCAACTAGAAATATTTTTCATTCTTCATGAATGCATTGGAAAACTGAACACTGTTTACGAATGAATTTTTTTTTTTTTTTTTTACGGTTGAGCTAAAGAATGGGTTATTTAACATTTTTTGTTGTATATAAAGGAAAGATGAGACGTTCTTACTTAAACTCTGACATAAATGCTGAAGAAGCTCACTCAACAAAAATATTAGTCTGATAAAACTGGCTGTAAAATCTAAGACAGTATTAAATGCTTTCTGTTACATACCTTCATCTACTCATCCCTATAATTATAATATAAAAAATACAAGGGAAATTTATAATTTTTAAAAAATCAGTATTTACCTCCTGCTGTCCTTATTTTTCGATTCAATTAGCAATAGAAGATTAGACACAGTTCTATGAGCACTTAGCTCAGATAAATTGATATTCTGTGATAGACAAAGATTAATTATGTTTGCATTCAGTTTGGCAACATTAGGAGAGAATCTTTGAATATATTCATCTCTATAGAAATCACTGAAAATAAATAACAGATTCAGGAATTACTTTTTCTAGAATATTTGCATTTATACATATACAGACATGCCAACTGCACCAGACTTTACAAAATATTTTAAAAAATAAATAAATAACAAACAGTAGAGAACTATAAATTAAAATTTGTAGATTTTTGGTTATTTTCCAAATTTTAAAACTTCCCAACTCAATACAACATAATTGCAGCTAAGTGACATTTCAGAAAAGTCATTGAATTATTTAGAGACAGTGGTGAGTAAAAATCCTAAAAATCAAATTTATAAAACAAGAATAATACATTAAATACTAGCACTTGAAAATAATTATCCACAGTCTTGGAGCAAGTTGGCATCTCCATATATACATATTAATTAATAAAATTTGATATATCATTTTGCAAAACTACAGAATTAAAACTAAAGCAGTAAAAAGCTTTTTTTTTTGTACTTTAAAAATAGTTTTTCAAAGTCAAAGTAGATTATGATGAGTAAATTTTTTTTATATTAAAAAATAATGAAATGAGTTTTGAAATTATTCAGTAAAAGATCAAAAATTGTCTTTTCCAAATTTCATAATGATAATTATGATATATAGAGTAATACAAAATAATGAAAGTATTGATTTATATATATATATACACTCAAGAGTCTTTACATTATGACCACCCTCCATCTATAACAATGGGCTCGCCTAGGTTTTCATGGTTTTTCGCCCAGGAACAATGTTTTCATGGGGCACATTAGATCCACAATCCTCATAGAACAATCCCTGACATCTGTAAGCTACTTGAACATAGTTGCAGACCAGGTTCACCCATTCATGGCAACTGTTTTTATTGCGGGGGATGGTGCTTACCAACAGGATAATGCACCATGTCATAAGGGTCGAATTGTCGAGGAACATTCCAGAGACTTTCAAGTCATGTCTTGGCCCCAAATTCACCTGACATTAATCCAATAGAGCATTTATGGTCCTACTTGGAAAACCAAATTCGCGCGGCCACGCTACCCCCTCGAAATGTGAGGGAATTGCAGGACCAGTTGGTGAGCGCTTGGTACCAGATACCTCAGACTACCTATCAGCACCTTGTGGAATCAATGCCATGGCGGGTGCTAGCAGTTTTGAGGGCTAAAGGTGGTCTTACATGTTATTAGCAGGGTGGTCATAAGGTAATGGCTCTTCGGTGTACATATATATAGTATTTTTCTCTAAAAAATAATAAATATAACAAAACTTAAAATACTTTTCATTAAAATGAATTGCAAGTAAAAAATACTTCCACAAATGAAAGAAATCTTATTAAATGAAATAAATAATCCCAGACATGGTTATTTTTTAAAACTAATAAAAACCATTAGGTTTACACCTTGGTTTAAACCAGTCTAATGATAATATAGGCTCGACAAGATATGCCTTTAGGTTTAATTTTTAATCAAGTACAAAATGTTGTCATACAGGAGAAGAATTACATTGGTTAATTATCTTCAAAATGTCAAAAAGTTAAAAAGATAATCAAAATACATATTCCAGATAAAATCACAACTTTGAATATCTTTACAACTTACTTAATACTTGATCGTTTTGGCAAATGAACATCCATGTAAAAAGCTAGTATGTTTACTAATTGAGCTGTGTATGAAAGGGCACCACTAATGCCATAGGCAACATCATACAGATGTTTATCTGCATTGGAGAGATTATCTCTAGAAATGCCTTCAACATAATCTGCACTAGAGGTTAGGCTTGAAAAAGATGAACCTTCAAGAAAAGAAAAAAATTAAAATTTAGACTTTTCTGACAACTTTTTTAAAACCGTTAAGCAAGCTGTAAAGAACACAAACATAATACATTAAAAAAATAACAATAAAGAAACAAAATTAACAAGAAACAACTCATTATAAAAACTGCTCAAATTTCGAAGAGAATTTAAGATTATTGGAAGAAGAAATTAGTTACTATGAAGGTACTTTATAGAACCAGTTAAGACAAAAAAAAAAAAAAAAAAAAAAAAAAAAAAAAAAAAAGGAAATAAATAAAAGATAAAAAAGCACTTTGATGCAATATTTATTTTATAATATACTTTATACTAATCACAAATACTCTTAATTATGAATAATTTCATAACATTTCACAGTTTTAGTTATTTATATCTTAGCTTGTGTCTAGTAAGCTACAATACACAGATCAAAATGATTATGAAAATAAATATGAAAATATCAAATAAAAAATTGAAAAGTTTAATTAAAAATACACCAAAATACAATATCTACCACATACTATGACTGGATCATTAATTTTTAATCTGCATTGGTAAAAATGAAATAAACATAAATTAAAAAAATATATTTATAATATGTTATTAAAATTTTGTTTGTATGCAAATTGTACACATAACAGGGTAAAAAAAAAAAATCAAAATTGTTACATGCCCTACTGCATATGTTAGTTTGCGATATGATAGTAACACATCAAATGAAGCTTTTACATGCCAAAGCACTTCTTTTTGAATGTATATTAACCTTCCGTTAGTCGCGCACTTGTTTCCGACATGGTTAATCGCGTTGCACCTATGAGGTGTTTCTGATTTTTTGAAAGCCAAATGAAATTTAGTCTAGTTTAAATAGTTAATTGTTACCAATTTAAGACTCTTTAGAGAGATAAATATCAAAAAACTTATTTAGCGAAGTACCGAAGATAAATTTTTCTTGCTCCCGCGTCGGATCTCTTCCTCCATCACAAGATGTTCAACCAATTAACGCAAGAAGGTTCTGCGGTTTTTTACTCCGTAACCATTTTCTGTGTATATAACTTGACCATTTATACCTGCTACGTTGAGAAGGACAGAAAATGAGATAAAATATATATATTTAATTCATAAAAATATTATATCCATAATACTTGCGTCAATGGTCGCGCTGCACCAGAGGGGTGATTTGAGCGGTTCCAACTCTCCATCGACATGTTCTAAGGTCGGTTTTACACGGACATTTGAGTAATCCAAAGTTAGGAACATAACATTAGGCTCGACCCCCGGAAAAATCTATTGACGGCAAAGGAGGTGGAAGTGCAGTAGGGATGCACCTGTGAGGTGCGCGCGACTAACGGAAGGTTAATATAAACATTAAGTTGTATCTAATAACAGAAAGACAAAGCAGTTAAAGAAAACATATACATTTTATATTGTTAAACAAACTTTACAATAATAATAATAAAAAAAACAAAACAACTATTACATTTTTGAATATCTTTAAAGATTTGAATCAGTTATCAACTTTAGAGTTATTAAATGGATAACCCACTTGCTTTCGATTGCAACTTTTGCATTTATTATTTTATTATGTAAAAATTTGGGAAACTTTCTTTTAATAAAAAAAAAAGTATGATTAGGGAAATAAAACAAAAAAGCTAACTGTTAAATTTCTATTTATAATCAAAATTTGAGGAACAGCTTCATTGGTATTTACAGGATTTATGATAAAATACTTAAATGAACGATTCGAATTATTACATGCTTGGGCATGTCCGGCAAAATAATTTCACAGCACTCATACATAATTTAAATAATTTGGCAGATTAAGAAAGAACTGCTTTTTCACAGGCACTACAGCCTGTTACAAAACAAGGCTGTCACAAGTAGTTTTTCCACAATGTTCCTCAAATTTCCCTTATAGATGTCTCTTTCAGCAGAGCTGAGTTCTCTGATTGGCAGCTTTCCTTGTTTTCTAAGTCCAAATGGATTAGTAAATGTGAGTTTTTACAGTAAATGCTGTCAATTTGAAATAAAAAAAAGGACTACCAATGTCAGTAAGTCACGATGGGTAATAAAAGTTATTTTAAGTAACTGTCTTAAAATAACTTTGATTTGAATCAATAATTGCAATTACGTTTAAACAACTACAACTAAACAAATAATGCTGACACAGAGACCTCTGACAAATATCCCTTTTTATAAAATTTTGTTGTTACAGAAATATTTTTTTTCAATTGGTTTTTCAGAAGTTCTTCCAATCAATCGTACAAAGTATCACACTGACTACAAAAGCAGAACTATAGAAATGACTATCTGACCAAGCTCTACTTTAGTTTTTCTTGAATTACATGCCAGTCCCCCTAAGTAGGGGATAAATCAAACTAAACTTTATGGGTCTTTAACATTTAACCTCAAGCCTAAAAGCAGTTTTGATACGAAAAAAACAAAAAAAAACAAACTATTTTTAAAGATATTAATTAAAACCAAATTTTTATAAGACTTACACCATGTAGGATAAGCAGAATAATCTCCAGTAACAGGAATACATGGCTCAACTATTTTATATTGCATTTGATCCGTTGGATTGCCAGCAATAACCCATTGACCTTGAACATAGGTGGTTTTTTGAGCTTCTTCTAACTCAGTCTCCGCGAACTGACCTTCACCTCGGTAACTAAAAATACAAACTGTTAGAGTGGACAGTATTTTTTTCCTTTCTTAAAATAATCAACTAAACTATGTAGCTTTTTTAAAATAAAAGCTTTTAAAATACAATATAATGACAAATTTAGCAAAAGTTAAAAAATATTATTGTGGAACAATTTGAATGCAAAATACCAACTTTTAAAGAGTAGGCATTCGTTACCAAGAACTTCAATAACTTGAAAGTTTAATTGTACAAAAGAGATTAGTTGTAAAATCATGAAAATGTAAAGCAATAATTTAATTTATATAACATACAATATACAGGAAATTAATATTAAACTGAGTTACATTTGATAATGAACAAAATGAGTGGGAAACTCAAAATATTAATAGATTTTTTTTCTAGTAGTTCTGAATAATTTGTTTTTTAGAATAATAGTTAATTAGCAATACGAAATAACATAAAACTAACAAAAAACAAACTTTATTTAAATTATAAACAATAAAACATGATTTTTAAATGCATAAAAATAAATTATAATTCTAGAAAAATATTAATAAATCAAGGCAATATTTCTGATCAATTTGCTTGAACGAAGAAAAAAAAATTGGCATGGATTAGTAAAATTTTTAAATCTGGAATGCAGGAAATTTACTAGTTTTAATCTAAAAAAGAAAAAAAAATCCTATAAAAATGATAATAAAAGTTAAAAATCAAAATTAATAACAAATAAAAAACAAATCATAATAATAAAAAATGAAAAACAATCATAGAAAATATACTCTAGTAAAAGAATAACATTTAAATCCTAACCAATATATGGAAATGGTAGTTTCTGACTATATATCAATATCACTGCAGCATGTGTGGAGCGAATGACTTTTTTTGCTAAATAATTTAAAATGTATAGAAAAATAAAAGTAATTTAAAAAAAAAAAGAGAGAAAGAGATATGTTGACAAATTATATCTTTTTTTTTTTGGTGCTCTTTAAATATAAGTATATACTATACTTATTTTCTATTTTTATCTTTATTTTTAATAAAAGTAATTAAAAATAAAGATAAAAATAGAAGATAAGTATAGAATCACCTACTCTTAGTGCCAACCTTTAAAAAAAAAAAAAAAAAAATGAGAGAGAGAGAGAGATATGTTGACAAATTATCTCTCTCTCTCTCTCTCTCTCTTTTTTTTGGTGCTCTTTAAATATAAGTATCAATATATTTTTCTTCATGCGAAATTGATAGACACCCAGAAAGCAACATGTGAATACACATTGTTAGGCTTATTAAGATGTCTAGTTTTCTATTTTAATTGTTACACATATATATCTTGATCATGTGAGCTTTTTACACACAATAAATAAAAATAAAATTATCTTCAAGCACAAGATTTAGTAAATAAGTACAATACATTTTTTAAATATATAAATGGAAAAAAAAAAAAGTTAAACTACAAGAGTTAAAAAAAAAAGGAATAAATGAAAAAAATATGCAAATAACCAGTAAGTTTTTGCTAAATTCGAAACAGTTTGCAATTAATTTTTCTTATACCAATAACAATGACTTTCACTTACCGAGGTGGAGGAACTTTAGATATAGGGAAAATATGTGTGACTAATTCTTTAACTCTACAATTAACAACAGACTGTAAGGCACATTGCTTGGTATTAAGATCAGATTCACAAATACTTAGTCTAGCATGATTCAATTTCACTGTTTCTCTCCTTTTTCTTTGCTGTAGAGAAAGCTCTTCTTGTTCCTGATTTAATTTGCTTTTCTTACTTTTTATTACTTCAATTCTTTTCTGTCCTATGTGGGGGAAAAAAAGGTTGATTAAACCTGGATAAAAAAAGGCTTTCTTTTCATTTAAATCTAATTTTTAAAAATTTGAACTGTATATCTATATATTTTTTTAGCAATTAAATGTATTAATGATCCTTTATTTAACAACAATACACAAACTAAAATACATAAATTTCCTCATCTACTATTATTTTTCTACTATAATTGTATATACTATTATTTTTAATATTAATAATAATGATAGCAATATAATTGCTAACATTGTTATATAACTAACCACAGTATAAATGCTATCTTAGTAATTTGGTACTCAAGATTTGCCCCATAATCAAAAGTAAATTAATTTAAACCAACATTCTGCAGCTCTAAATTTTCCAATTCTTCAGGGCTATTTAAATTTTTTAAGAGTCATTTAAACTTTTTAAGGCTTAATATAAAAAATATATACTGAGGATTTTCAGGCTTTTAATTTCAGGATGATTTTATAAATATGGATAATTTGTGTCTGGGCAATAATTTTATTTAAATAAATTAAATTCAATTAAATTTTTTAAATGTAAATTTTATTTAAAATTGGGTTAGTAATTCTTGTCATTTCAATATCTAATAATTATAACATACTAATACCTAAAATTCATTTTCACAATTAAAATACTATTGCTGTAGAAAACTATTCGCGGCATTAAAATACATTTACAATGATTTAAGAACAAATATGAAGGAGGACTTCAGATTCAATTCTTTACTTAAAACTGAACAAATAACTGAACTGTTTATTGAATTAAATTCAGTTTGTATTTACTGAGTGAGCTGATAATTATGTTATTATTTTTTTATTGTGAAAATTTAAAATTGAAATCTGAAACTTATAAAACAAGCTTAAATCTGTAGTAAAATTACTGGTGTCGTTGCAGAGCTGAATCTTTAGCTTGGAGTGGAACTAACCTATCGAAAATATTTTAGCTCTGGAGCTTATTTAAATATGACTTTAAAACGATAAACAAACATCAAATTCATAAGTTTTAAAAACACTTTGTTCTTAAATAAATATAAAATTATTTGAGTTTAATTAAAATATTTATTAACTGATACTAAAAGAGCAAATGAAAATTTATAATTTAAAAGTTACACTCTATTTTTATCTATCTCTTTTTATATTATCTCTTTATCCTTATTCCTTAGTTTAAATCTTCACTATTGATAAATGTCAGTCGTAACCTTTTACAAAAGAAATAACGCAAAATTCTACAAAACTAATTCACCATTTTATTATTCTTTTTCATCCATTGTTCAAAAAAAAAACCAAAACAAAAAAAAATGATCATATCTATAATATCAAGCTTTTAGCTCGCAACATCAGAAAATGCGTGTTATTACATCACGTGACCCTGACAATAAAGTTAGACATAAAAAAATATTACTATCATAAAAATAAAGAAAAAAAATTTTTACCTTAAAAAATGTGTTTTCGGTGTTTTTGCACAAGTTAAGTTTTTGTTGTCATGGTTTGCATAAGTTAAATAAATTAAATTATGTCAACCCTGGCAAAAAATAACAGAAGTTGGTAATAAAACTATTCAAGAATGGTATGCAATAATTATAAAACATGACATAGTAATAAATAAGATAAATGTCAAAAGAGAATAATTAGATTAAATTACATCAAACACCACAGACATTTTTCAATCAAGAGTAAGGTTGAGAAAAATTTTAAATGATAAAAAAATTCAAACATTTACATTCTTTAAATAAAAACATTAAGATAAAAGCCTAGAGAACAAAAATTTAACTATTACAGCATTTTAAACTGACATAACAGTGTCTCTTTTGGATTCCTGCATAAACTAAAGAAAAATATCCCTTAATATTTTAGTTTCTAGAAAACAGTAATGAAGTATAGTTGATTTGTTGTCCTTGCCAGAGTTGTGTTCATTATTGAACACGTATAAACCTTTAAACAATTTAAAACCTTAACTCTTGGTTTGAAGTGTAATACTTGCAATTTTTAAAAAATTTAATTGAATATTATACTAGTAAATAGATTAAATTTCACTATATGAGTAGGTGTCAAGTTGGGGTAAAAAAAAACATGTTTAACTGTAAAAACAATAGCTGTGAAACACACATTTTTCTAATCTTTTCAACTTTTGAATTTGATTAATTCAATTCTAATCAATTGAAACTTTTATAAGATAGTTATCATTAGTATAGATAGCAGATCATCATCGTATATATATATATCTACATCATTTGCATAGATAGCAGGTCATCATCAACTTATGTACATCATTTTTATAATTAGCAGGTTTGCATTTTCAATTTATTTCATTCAATGCATGCTAAAAGATGCAATGTTTTTAAATGAATTTTTTAATGACAAAAAAATACTTTGAAGACAAAATATGTTTTGTAACAGTCTAATTTAGAGATATTTTTTTTAATGTATTCTCTCGTATACATTTTTATTTTATACAGAAATGAATAAAATTGCCAGAATAAATTCATACACTGGTAATGAATTTATCCATATCAAAATAAATGAGAAATTGAAAGCATACCTTTTGAGATTTCAATTTTGACATCTTTTATATTTCTCTTTAAGTTCTTAACTTTTTCTTTAGCAAACTGGATGCTAAGCTTCTAAAAGAAATATATTAAAAATATATTAATATATAGTGTATGTTAAAATTATATATTTTTTTTAATTAGTGCTTTCTATTTTTTTTTCTTACAATACATTTATTAAGCAGGAATGCTCATATACTTTCTGAGGGCAAGATATAAAAACTAAACGATTTCATGTTTAGGAGTAATTTTAAGAGGACTTTTCGTCACAAATTCTGTTTAATTTTGATTGGTCTTTTAAGTTCAGAGAAAAGTGAGCACTAGTAAACCTAGAGTGAATCATAAAGTTTCAATTTTGAATTTTTTTTCCTTCATAATATCAAAATGCAAAAAAAATTATTTTAGGATTACTTCCCTACTGCAAAATCTTACTCTAAACTGTTAACGTTTAGTACTTTTAAGAAATGGTTCATGATTATGGTTACTAGGTTCTGGTTTACTCTAGTTTCATGGTTTACTCTAGGTTTACTTGAACTTATTTTTCCTATACTTTAAAATTTAAATTACTTATATAAGTGAAAGATAATTTGCTACAAAATGTTTCTCTGCTAGTTTAGTGTCCTCTTAACATGAAGTTGTAATTGTAAAAATAAGGAGTGTATTTAGATTAATTGTATTGAGATGAATGACAAAAATTAAAATTTTTTTTTACTCAGATGCATAGTAAAGATAAGAATAAGTAACCGGAAATATTTAATGTAAATAAATCAAGACAGACATAGATAAAAGATTACAGACAAATTATTACAACAAATACAAAACAGGGAAAACAAACAGAAAATCAAAAGATTTTATTTACTTAAGAAATAAAGTTACTTCTTTAAAAATTAGATATAATGAAAAAGTTTGTTTTTTGAATTAGTTAAGTACTCTAATACAAAAAAATTCAAAAATGTTCATTCTTTTATGTTTTTATTAATATTTGAAACAGTATTATGGGTCAAAATGGGCAATGCCTGTATAGTAATATTCTAAAATTAAATTTTTTTTTTTTAATTTAGTAAAAAAATTAAATTTAAAATGGATTATCAAAAAATTATGTAGCAATTACTATGTAACAATTATGTATAACATTTTATTAATGAAATACATATTTATATTCATTAATACACATACATACACTGCAAAATTTTCAAGATTTATCAGAAAATTTTATTTTTAAATTTAAAACATGCAAATTGAAGTTTACTAATAAGATAGTTATAGCATGTAATTAAAAAGAGTTATTTGCAACCCATTTAAGATTCAGCAACGGAGAAAAAAATACATTATAATTAGAAAATATCAGCTTTAAAAAAAACAAAACAATTGTATGTCAAAGTTGTATTGACAATGGTTTGCGAGACCAAATAAGTTCTTGTAAATTTTTTTTTCTCAACAGTTTGTCCCTGATCTAAATTGAGATGAGCAAACAAGAAAAGAAAAACTTTAGTTTTTCATCGTTGTAGGCAAATATATTGGTATAGAACAGAAATGAGTTCAGGCTTGCTTTTGAAGGTCAGAGCACGAAGAACTTTAATTTGAGTACAATCAAGCTAAAAATACGAAGTATTACTTAGAATCACTAAATTATATTTAATGAATACCTTTTGTGATAGAACATATTTTTACAGACAAGAATTAAGATATAAGAGAGGCCCCTTGCTCACTAATGTTATCCTAACCCCTGACAGTGCTTGCTTGAGAAACATTCACGTTGCATTGAATACATTTTGTTTACTACCAGACTTAATAGAATTTCTCACTGTGTCATTTAAAAGCCATAAATTTGCCCCACTAACTCCATTTGCATTTCATCAACCCGTCAGGGAACAATATTCTAACACCTGGAATAGCACCGAAAGAAATTCCAAGGGAACTAAAACAATAATTAAAAAAGGAAATCAAAATCTTAAGGTGACTAAAAGCCATTTAATGTTAGAACAGAAGTAGAAGATCACTGTAAATTTTGTATACTTCATAAATTTTAAATTTTTTATACTGTTAAAAAATTTTATACTTTAAATTTTTTATACTTTTAATAACTGAATCAAATACTGGCTTAAAAGTAGTATAAAAGTTTATAAAATTTTTATTATGAATCTCAGACATGCCCAAACTTGAAGCATATTTTCAAACATAGAAGGTATTGAAAAAAACATAGAAGGTATAGAAACAAACATATAATGTATAGAAAACGACATCCTACATAATTTTACATCCCAAAAATAAAAATTTGTATCAGAATTTTGTTGTTCCTATGTCACAATCAGTCTTGAGGAATAAATTAAAACACAACATTTTTGAAATTTAAAAATATTATTTACCAAATCTTCTATTTCTTTCTTTTTGGCAAGAGCAGTTTCATATCTGGAAGGAAAAAAACAAAAAATTTATTCAAATGTTCAATAAAAAATTATTTAATACATAAAATTTTTTTTTTGACACAGGAAAACACCAACCTTTTATAGTTTCATATATATATATATATCAATTTATGACCTATTTAACGAAAATACAAGTCATTTCCACAGACGAGACAGAGCAAAAGCAAACTAATAGTTAATTAAATTTTTGTTTTCTTAATTTTTTTATTGTTTATTAAAAAATTTTTATTTCACATTTATTTTTTTGTTTTTCTTAATTTTTTTATCATTCATTAACTGAATCTGTTGCAATTGTGCCACTATTTTTCATATAAACTAATAGATAAAAAAAAAGGCACTTATTTAAAGTTATCTAAATCAAATTTGTTTCGAAACTCTATTTTTCTAATCTTAAACTTATTCAATTAAATTATTCAGTTTCATACATTGTTTATAATTTCTATAATTAATCTCATAAATATCTTCCCGCAGTGGACTGATCCTTAAGACACGGTTCCCAGCAGATCACCGAAGTCAAGCATCACTGGCTACGGTCAGTGTGCGGGTGGGTGACCACTTGGATCAGTCTGCGTAGGGACCGAGGGTGTGCGGTATTGGTCCTCGTTAAACTGTGCTACCGTAAAGTGCTCGACTTCGCGCGCAGGTCGTCGGGCTACCGAAGCGGGGGCGCCATCCCCTCCGCAGAGGATCAAAATTGTGATGGCGTGTCTTCGGCTCATCCTCCGGGATGTTTCCCAGACCGTGGCCAATAGCCCATTGTGCAGCTCTAGTGCGACGTAAATTAACAACAATCATAAATATCTTTGATATTCCTCATGCTAAGCATGATGATCAAACACTACCGATTGAACTCAGTATTTTACAGTGGGTAGCAATTAATTACCATCCCCATAGAGAAACAAGTTTTTAATAGAAATTTAGTGAGAAATTTTATGTATTGCCAATCAAAATGGCTACAGGAGACATAGAGCAGAATACCCTACCTATGGCAACACTTCCAATGCTTTCACTATAAGCGTGTAGAGAGTCATAAATGGAAGTGTGTTAGTTTCTGTCTCTATTTTCAAATAGATTAGATTGAAAACTTCTATGTGAGGCAATTATATGGAACTGAAAACTACATTTTAAAATAGTTCTATAAGAAAGTATTGTGAAAATTTAAAAAAAAATATTTGTGATAGTTTATTACGGAAAATATTGTAGAACATTCCCATACAACTGAAAAGAGGGAAGGGTTTGGATCAATACATGGAACCAGTCCTTTACAGATGGTGTATTCCGATCGCGAATTGTATATAACAGAAAACAAGTAGCTCAAAACCGTATCAATATTTGATCAGGTTCTTTTCAATTGCTCTAAAGAATAAAAACACAAACCTTTCTAGAATTACGGATTTTTCTTCTTCCAATTTATATTTTTTAGGCTTTTTGTCAGCAAACCTAAAAAACAAAACAATTAATCAATATGAAGAAATAGATAATGGAAATATTTCAACTACTTTAACAATAAATACTTAACTATTATTTAGTTATCACATTCTTAAAGTATATGTAAACCGAGCAAAATTTTTTAAACAGTCATTATTTATAAAATATCCTAGCCCTTAATTTTCTGAGAGTTCTTCATTAATTATGCTATACATCAAACATTTCATTTTAAAAACTAAACAAAGTAAAAGAGCCAGATAAAATAGAGTAAAGGAAAAAATAATATAGATCAAAATTGTAAGCAATATATTTCTGAAGATAGTAAAAAATATTTGTAACAAACTTTAAGCATAAATTTTTAAATTTATTCATTATTTTAAAAAATTAAGTAATTTATCATTAGTTATATTAAACGCAAATTTTTTTTTTATATTGTATAATTATATTTAAGCAATTAATCTGCTTAAAAATAAAATGTCCCTAAAATGTATATTTAGTCGTGTATATTAGGTTATACACTTTAAAAAAAAAAAAAAAAGACTATTTTAATGAGTCATTTAATTAATATACACAAACAAGGAAAAAATATTTATACAAGACAAAAAATATTAAATTAGACAAAAATTAAATTTTTTAAGTATACAAGACCTTGACAGGAGATGGCTAAACATGAAAGACCTTTCTAAACATTTTTTTTTCGAGTATGTGAAATTTCCATTCCTAACGCAATCAGCACAATAAAAGTTTTTGGAAAATTCATTGCATAATGGACATCTTGTATGAATTCCGTCTAGCTTATTCTCCGTTGCATCATTTACAACAATGCATTCGTGGAAATCTAAATCAGAAAAAGTGTATTCATATTTATTTCTCTTGGAGTTCGCCATTAAAGTTAATACATTTTCAAATTCGTATTACTCTTCTCGTCCGTCTTTGTTTTGTGTTGTGTTTTGTTTTGAAAACTCAAATTAGAGGTAACACTCTGACACACATCTCTCTGTATGACATGTATGATTCTAACCTAACCAACACTAGGTAGCGCTAAATACGAAACATTATTAAAATTTTTATTAAATAAAAAATAAGATGATTCATCAAGCTCAAATCGAAAATTTGATTGAAAGAGAAGGTTNATTTTCAATCACGTTCAAAAAGCGGGCATCCAAGCAGTTGGCGATAGATTTCGTTTGGCAATCACCCATTTCAGCTGATCGCCAAAGTTTAGGGTTATAAGAGGGCGGATTAATATTTTTATCAAATGAAAGTATCAAGCTGCTTGTGTCAAGCTTCACGGAAATTTTGTTTGTTTATATGTATTATTTACATTACACCAGATTGTTTGCCGTTTTAAGTATGAGATTATAACTAGTATCGAATAATTTTTTTTTACTGTGTAGACCATTTTTTGTTTTGAATATAAAAATTTTTTGTGTTTAAAGCATGGGATCAAACGAATTGAAATCGTAAGTTTTCAAATTATTTGACTTAATAACTTGTTAGTTTCACTATTAGCTGTAAGAGATTATTTTCGCTATATAAGGAGAATAATTTTAAAGTTATTGTATGACATTAAAATCAGGAATTCCTGCCATAGTACAGATGTTATATTTATCTGATACGATTTCTAATTAAATTTTTTATTGTATGTCTATGTAATATTAGGCACTTAGCCCTAGGGCCCGTAAAACACTTAGTACCTCAGCACTTCTATTCGGTATCTATATTAGTATAATAGATACTAATATAGATACAGATAATAAATTAAGTAAAAAATCTTCGAAAATCACGGTACTTTTTCAACTTCCTTTAATGGATAAGTACTAATTATTATTCACATTTTATTAATAAATAAATGTGTTATACCATAATAAAAAGTTTATAACTCGCTTAAGAATAAATCTTTGACACATTTTTCTTACTCATCAAATTAAAAATGAATTATAATGGTGCTATCTGAAATTAACCAGCAAAAATTTAATTTAATTTATTAATTTTAACTCAACAGAAAAAAAATGGTCACAGATTGAACTATGTAATTTCTCTTGTAGAAAAGATGGGTACACAAAAAAAAAGAAAATGCATATTTATGCGCATTATTATGAATGCATATTTATGAAACATTACTCATGATGCATGAATAATGTATAATTAATCATTTCAAAGCAACCTCAATATCATAGCTGAAAAAATCCTGCTTTGTCATGCAAAGAATGAATCAAAATTTTGCTAAAAAAGCTTCATTAGTTTGTTTCTAAGTAAAAATACTTGTTAACAGGTGAAATTCAACTTTGATTTACAAACTGTCAAAGTGTATTGTCAACCCCTTTGCCTTGCAAATTAAAAAAAAGTCTAATTATTTATATTGTTTATGGAAATTTGTTTGAACAAAAATTTTATCCTGAATATTCAGGAATAAATCTAATACAATGAGCACTAGAAAAGTAAAAATTAAAGCAAATATGAAAATAAAAGTTATAAACACATGATAAAATTGTGCCATATTAAGTTCAGTTAAAAACATAAATTTTTTATTTAAGAAAACAAATTACATTTTTAAGTGAGTTTTGTAACCCTAGAAAGCTGCCAACTTGGTCTATTATCCACAAACAAGTTATAGGATTAAAAAAACTTTACTTTTACTCAGGGTTCGTTGATTTAAATCAGCTTGATTAAAATCACGATTTAAATCATGATTTAAATCAAATGATTTTTTTAAAAAAATCATTGATTTAAATCAACTAATTTTTTTTTATCTATATATATCGATTTTAGAAGTCAAAAAACAGTGTTTTAAATTTTTGATACTTTTATTATTTTCTTTTCTTAGTATTAAAATTTAATTTAAATAAATTGCTGCATTAATTAATTTTAGTTAACGAAATTACTTTCTTGGTGTGTGTTAAATTCCAACACATTTGAAATTACATTTTTAAAAATCTTTTGATTCTTGAGATTGAAAGTACAGATTAAAGTAAACATTTAATGCTGTCTTAATATAGACTTGCATAGCTGTAGAAAGTAATTAATAAACATGAATTTTTTTCAAAAAATAATACAAGTAATGTTAATTAAAATTCTACCTTTTGAATGAAAAAGCGTTAATTAAAATCTACATCATATTTTATTGGTGGAAAATGTATATTTCTGAAGCTTGAGGTTATATTAAAAAGAAATTACCGTAATATGCCAAAAACAGAAAAAGAAAAAAAAACGGGCTGATGAATTCAGATGTTTTTTTTCCTATTGTAGTGTCATTCTTCCCTTTCAAACTCTTTCGAAGTCTATTTGATGCAGTAGGGTTATTAACTGGTATTTTTTTCTCATAATATGTTTACAGTATCTTTGACATTATCTGATTTTCTATAAAGAAATTTTGTGAAAAAAAATTCCAATGAATACATAGATTTTCTAATTTTTTTTTTAGCTTAACTTATCTATTTTGATATAGAATTAAAAATGAATATTTTAATATAAAAATATATAGATTAAATATTTATTTATTTTTTGATGAATGACTACATTTATAAACACAGTCTGCTACATTTATTTTGTCATTTTAAAAATCAAGAGAAAAAAAAAGAAATCACAATTTTAAATTAAAGTTATGGTTTGCTAACTGAAACTTTGTTTTAATAGTTAAAGTGCAGGGGTCTGTCCAAGCCAAATTTACTACCGTTTAACGGTACCTTTACAAATTCAACTTTAGGAAAAATGATAGAATAATCACACAAAATACTTTTTCTTAAAATTTTATTTTTGTGTCTCGTAAGAAACGATAAATCCATATTTTTACTATATTTGTGTTGATTTTTTAATATAATTTTTAATTTTCACAAAATAGGTACCTCTCAGAAAAACCCAGACAGACCCCTGAAGTATTCTTTAAATTCTCTATTTCATCTAGTCTTTAAATTTTAATCATGCATTTGTTTCAAAATGGTTGCTATGCATTCAAAGCCATGTATTATAATGAAAAATTATTTTAGTTAGAGCTTCTAAAATATTGTTACAATATAGTTTTAATATTAAGTTAATTTGATTAAACATTTATAATTTTTTTTAATCATAAATTAAAGTTCTTACAGTGTATTTGAATAAAAATCAAAAAAATCTGATTTAAATCAAAAAAATCCGATTTAAATCAAAAAAATCTGATTCTTTTGATTTTTTTTAAAAAAATCAAAAAAATCACGAACCCTGCTTTTACTGCTTAAATCAGCAATTCCCATTTTCTTTTGGCTATGGAACCTTAAATGATAAAGGTTTCTTTGACAGAACTGCAGCTTTATAAATAAAGTTCATTAGCAGATATAAATATATTAATTCGATAAAGTGTATTAACTATTTTGAAAATATGTAATTGTGAAGGATAAATTATTTTTATTGTTTTATCAATATTACTCTTAAAAATATATTTTATGTTAGACAGTTAAATTCACGGGATTAGAGTGCTATCTGAATTTATGGTTAAAAAAGTTATGAAATAGGCTAAATCATGAATTTTGTAAAAGAACTTTTATTAATGTCGAAAATGATTACCACAGAAACATTATGCTTTAATTTTTAAATTTGGTTATTTCATTTTGAATTGAAAATTTTGATTAGAAACACTGCTAGAATTTTTATTAATATATGCTTTTCATAATTTATTAAAATAAAAATAATAAAATTTTACTAATATCTTTTTCATTGGCGTTTTACTTATAATTTAAAATAAATAACAGAAACATTGAATTAATTTTAGATTAGTGATTAGATTTAAATAGAGTGGCTGGTTTCAAAATTCATTACTGGTTATANATAAAAAAAAAAAAATTACTCCTGAGACCCCCTAGATTGCTCCACAGGGTATCTTTTGGGAACCATCAGTTTAGTGGTTTTTAGAATTTTAGGATAGTATTGTGAAATTTATCATACTGTAACATTTTGACCAGATGAAATTCTGCCATAAAATTAAATTATTTAAAACTGTGGTGTGTAATATATTCATTTGTCATGGGTTTGTGGACAAGTATACCATCATTTCAGCTTTATTTCAAATTTTTGTTAAAGAAATCCTTGTGCATTGTCCCAATGACAAAAGCACAATCTAATTTCAGTTAAAATGTTTAGTTCAAGCCGTGAGTGTGAGATACTTAGTCCTAGCATTTTAAAATACACTCCTTTTTTTTATTAATCATTAAACTTAAAATAAATGTGTGATTTACTTACGAAAATGCATATTTGTGACAAATTAATAAAAGTTCATCACTAATATTTCTTTTTTTATGGACTTAAGATTCATAAAAATTGCTTTGAAAAATATAACAAAGTTGGATTTTTCACCAGTACATTATATGTAATTTGTTAATTATGTTGAATTTTTACATGCAAAAAGGTTTAGAATTCATATACGCAAAATATATGTTTATTTTTCGTTATAAAAATATGAAATTTTAGGTTTTACTTTAAAAAAAAGAAAGAAAAGGAAAAAAGAGATATCTGATTCTTGTCGAGAGTGCAATAAATTTTTTTCTCTCCCTAGAATCTCTTTAAAGAGGGATTTAATACACTTAATTGTACAGAGAAATTACCTATTTCAACATTGAGAGCAGGATTCATAATTTTTTTCTAAATTAAAATTAAAAATTTTTAAGTTCACAATACAGTATGCTTTCAAATGATTGGTCAAGCAGTAATACTGAAAGCTATGTAAGGAAACAAAAATAAACTGTGTTGAAAAAAATGATTTTTTATGACTTATTTTAATTTATACAGTTAAAAATATAATGACTAATATATAAATCAAAGGAATTATAAGGGAATTTATATAAAACAACTGTCTCAAGAAGTGGGCCACTGAGTCAGACGTCAAATTATAGTGTTAAATTATAAGACATTTTTTAAAATTTTTTTTGCGTAAAAAGCTCATTAATTCTATTTAGCTTAGTTTTTAAAAGTTTGGTAAACATGTTGTTTTAATTTTTGCAAAATTTATAGTGCAGTTCTGCCTTCTTTGTGCATGCATTGCTCTTACAAGTTTTCTCACATCTTTTCTGTCTAATTCAAATTAGAGATATAAGGTGGTTTATCAATAATTTGTGCAACATTATCCAGAAACCATTTAAACGTAGACTTTTCAATCTGCACAGAAGCATCGTGGTGAAACATGAAAAACTGGCCTTCATTGCATTTTTTTTTAAGATGAAAATATTGTTCTATCAAGTATTAATAGCTTACATCGTTCAAAGGTTGTTTACATATGCTGTATCAACTCTTTCTGCTTGTCTGATTTTGGCCCATACTATATCAGTTTCACCGCCTGCCAAATTATTCCTAGCAAAAAAGTTATTTTTATTATCAATTAAATATCCAAAACCTGAAACTGCTGGTGGAGGCTAGGATAGCCTGGTTGGTAGGGCACTGGACTACCAACCAAGCGATAGTGGGTTCAATCCCCGCTCTCCTAGTAAATGCTGACTGGTGCACCTTAAAATCTGTCGGGTCACAAAGTCCTCCATGTTCCCATAACAAATCAATACCTCTGGAGGTTCTGATCCTGGAGTTCTCTTGTTTTCTGGATAGGGATAAAAATTACAAGGATACGGAGTTGAATATCAGTAGTTGTAAACCCAGAATTGGTTCAGCTGTTCAACGACGGTTTTAAAATTATAAAATAAAAAACTGGCAGGGGATCTATTCTTGTGTCAGACACTATGCACCAGTGCTGCAAAATATTTAAAATCTGAAGTTTCTTCAGAATAGAATCAAAATTTTTTTTGACATAGAAGCAACTACCTATATTTGTAGTTGAAACATTTAGTGTAGAAATTTCGAAAATAATTATCACATTTTGTCGTCATTATTTTCCTGAAAAGTGTTATTTTTTTCTTTCTCAATTTAAAATATTAGGCTATAAAAAGTAAATTGAGTGATTAGAGACACCCCTTGGAGCTAAAGGCTATTTTATAAAAATAGTTTTGTAAATTGGGGAAAAAATTGGATTATAATTTTAACATAATAGTAGGTTTCATTTAATGTGCATTTTTATCATTGAGTATTGTGAATGATCTCATATTTTTCTTTATACATTCTAAAACTGTACCACAAAAAGAGTTTTCAATGCCAGACCAGTAAGTACACAAAAAAGAGGCAGGCCGAATTTTAAATGGATCGATGGCCTAGAAAAATACCTTTTGGTCTTAAAAGCTGAAAACTGAAAAATGCTAACAGGAAAAAGGTTAGCCTGGGAAAAAATTCTTGAGGCCCTACCCTGGGCTGTCAAGTCATTGATGATGATACCATTGTAAAATAACAAAAATAGTGTTGGGCATTTATGATCTGCATCACGGGGTAGGGGATATAAGGAGGATAAACTTTAATGTCGCTATCTAGACAAGTGAGTTATTGTTTCCAATTTTTTTTTTGTGTATGCTGAATCGAGTGAAAAAAAAACCCTAAATCGATAGGATTAATCATTAAGAAATCATTTAAGTTTTATGTATAAAAATATTAATTTATTGTATTAACTAATTTGTATGAGACTGCTGTTTTCATTCTTAACCTGAGCTCATAATTTTTGCTGAATCTAACGAGACTAAAAAAATGAATTGGACTAGTGGGTAAAAAGTTTTTATTTATAAAATGTATTATATTTGTTGTGTATGCATAAATGTCTTTATGTATTACATTTAAAATAGTTATGTACTGATGCTGTTAATTTACTAGCCTTATATTAGACAAGTAGCATAATGTTATATGTATTTTTGTCTCTTAGTCTCATAAAATCTATGTTAAGTCAATAGAATCAATAGTTTAAGGAGTTATAAAGGTTTCATGCATGAAATTATAATTTTTGACTTTATATCATTTTAAGTATAAACCTCTCTTAACTTCAATACTATTAGTTCTATCAACTTAGTTTTAATTTTACGAGATTCTGCATAAAAAATACATATGAAATTATGCCTCACTTGTCTAGATAGCAATGTCTGATGGGTAAATAAGTTATTAGTAAAAAAGTGTACTTTTTACTTATGAGACATTTATAACTTCCATAACTTCTAAACTATTGACTATATTGATTTGGTTTTAAACTCAGTCAATTTACGTTGCACATTGGTTTGATCTTATTCGCAAAACATTACTTGCAATGCATCATATCGCTAGTCTATGTAGCAGTGTCAGATGTGATATATTCAACACTCTGTTTTTTATGTATTAACTTCGTAATTTTTGATCACAATATTTAAGATAACAACTTGGATTTAATCTCGTCTTATTTAGTAAAAAATAAGTAACAAAAAGTACACGGGGGACAATACCTCACTTGCCTAGATAGCAGTATTTAAGTTTCCCCATTACTCCTTTTTCCCGCACCAAAATGTTTTTTGTAGCAGCAGTAAAGGTAATATATTAATATTTTTTGAATAAGAATTGAAAGAATTTTGACCACCTTACATTTAAATAGCAAATACAACAAAGATCTGATTAAATATTGTTCATATTTTATAAATCTGATTAAAGTTTTATAAAAGTTCCATTTATTTTAAAAAATGTTTGTGTAAAAGTTCACAACCACTAAAAATAAAATATTCCACAGAAACTTCAAATATTTGAGGTTATGCCCATTTCTTCTCGCCCTTTCCTGTCTTAAGACTCCAGGAGTCCACAATTGCTTTGCTTATTCTACAAGAAATCCCTGTAATCACAAAACTGCGCATATGCTGGAGGATAGTGGCAGTGGAAAATCCTTATAAATTTACAGTGGTCTGTTTAGAAGAAATTTGGATCCGTTAACGGACCCTTCACAAAATATCTTTTCATAAAAACGGACCCTTCACAAAATAATTTATCTTTAAATCGAACCCTTCACAAATTTGTTTATCTTCATTATTGTTTTCTTAATCGAATAAACCCTTCCCAGGAAGGAGGGGTAAGAAAGACAGGTGTAAACGAACTAAGTTTTGTCTTCGGCAGACGCTTCTTCCTTTATTCGTCCGAAATGAATATCAGCAGTATAGGCTAAATACCAAATGTTTGTATGTTGCATCTCTAATTTAGAAGTAGCAATTGCTGTTTATTTTCTAAAATTTTAATTTTTTTAATTATAATTTTACAGTGTTGAGCATGATCTTGTAGGTCTTTGCAGTTTAAAAACTCCTTGAAAAAGTTTTTTGCAATAACAGGACCCTATTTGCACAAATTTACAAAAGCAGGACCCTGGTTGGAAGAATGTGACTTCACGTTTATTTTATATTCACAACTTACGAGTAATTTTTTCATAATTTTTCAAAAACGGACCTTTCGCAAAATGTCTGAACAGACCCCTGATTCAATCACAGAAATGGTCACAGCTCGCTTGCTGACAAGTAGAAAAAAAGAAGTACTTTATAACTACTTTTTGAAAAAATAATTATAAGTTTCAGATTATTTTCCAACCTTAAAATGCATTTGTAAACAAAATTTCAACTCGATTTGGGAATTCGGAATGGCGCTTGAAAAGACATGTAATATTCTTTCATACTTGACTTACATGTTTTTATTCTCACTGATGGGAGAGAAAAATATTTTTCTATTTCACTAATGTTTATTTTCAGTATATTATAGTAGACTTTTCTTTATTTTATTTTATTTTTTTCTGCATCCTTTTACCGAAAAAAATTATTACAATTCTTAGGTGTTAAAAATCGAGGAAATATTTTAACAATGTTTCAAATTGTGTGAAAAAAAGAAAGAAAAAAATTTTTTTTTTTACTGAACGCATTGAAAAATTTAATTTAAACGATTGAGCTCGCTAATAATAATTATCAGATTTAAGTAATTTAAATGAATATCGGAGCGAGGCATGATTGATTAAAGGGAAAATATATGCAAAATACATTCTAAAAAATATAGCTGTATGTAAAAAGATGCCTATGCATATAATATTGGATTTATATACAAGTATTAAGCAACTTTAATAAAAATAAAATTATTGGATAAAAGCTAGAAATTTTTCATACATTTATTTTGCTCATTATTTTAGATAAATTTTTGATTTTCATTACATCGTATCGATGTACACACGTTCTCCATGTAACGCAAATGCGGGTTAGTTCCATCAAGATGTACTCCATGAAGGTAAATTTCCCCTAATACTTGATGCAGGAGTTCCATTGTCTTCTGGATTGGGTTCAACGGAGTTGAACATTAGTAGTCGTAAACCCCAGAAATTGGGTCGGTTGTTCAATGACGGTTATAAAATAAAATATAACCCTTCTATAGAGGATCAAAATTGTGATATCTTGTCTTTTAAGTATGACTTCTCAAACCATCGCCAACAGCTAATTGTGCACCATTAGTGCGATATAAGTAAAGTACTACTACTACAGGGCTGATTGTGCTCCGGAAAAAATCAGGATTTCCGGATTTTTCGCTGACAGTGATCCGGAAGTTTCCGGAGATCGAAGGTCCAGGCGTTTCAAAAAATCATTGATTACAGAAGTTTCCGGAAATCAAAATTTCAAAGGTGGAACTTGACCACTGTTTATTTTATTTGTTTGTAAGGGAGAGCCAGATACTTTATAAGCTTATATTTATGATTAATATTCAATTTTTATCAGTAAATAGTTATTATAATCATAAACTCAAGAAAGAAAGGCGCATTTGTAAATTTTAATTACTTCTCCAGGTCATCATAGGTATGTGATGTGTAAAAGTTTAAATATATCTTAAGTAAACTAAGAAATATTGAGAAAAAGGAAAAAAAACTTTGTTTAAATTTTTTTCTAATTTTTCTATTTAAAAAGTTTTTTTTTTAACTCAAGAAATTTTCCGGAATTTTGACTTGGGCTCACAATCATCCCTGACTACTACCTCTACTGCTACAAAATCATAAACTAGCTACACAGTTGCGGAGTAAAGAAGAATCTGTATTTTTTTTTTTGCCTGAAAGTAAGATACGACGTGCAATGATTGTAAATTTCTTTTGTAATTGTTAGTTATATTTAAATTATTTTTGGATTTAATGTCTTACAAGCATCTTCCGTCACTAAATTATGAAAAAAAAATCTAGTGAACATTTCTGGATGTATAATGTAACTAATAGCTCAAATACTTAACAACTATTCTGTGTGTCATGCCCTTTCGACTCATTATGTCTAAATAAATAAGAATGGGTCTTATAATTCCGGATTAATAAAAAGTAATCATAATAATCAGACATTGTAAAGGATTTTAGTAATAACCAATGGGTATTGTAAATGGTTTTAAATTGTAATCTATCTTTCTGTTTAAAATTTGTTGGAACTGTAATTTCTTATTATGTTATGGCCTTTCTTATTTTATTTTATTTTGCAGATGTATTTTATCTCAACTTAAAAGAAGAAATTTCAAAGAACACAGTTTCCAAGAACTCATTCAGTACAGTAATAAGTTATTGGAATCCTTAGATTATTTGAAAAAAGAGACTCGAAAAATACAAACAGAGTCCATTCCTCTTGAAAGTTTGCGCCACCCAGAAGGTTCTAAGTTAGAGGATTCAAATTTACTTGCAAAGTACCACGGCTTACAAGAGGAACTGAAACAATGCCATATTAAAATTTCTGAGTTTGCGCAGCAAGTTTTAGAATTAAAAAATGTGGTGGACGAAAAAAATAGTTTGCTATGTAAGCTAAATAATGAATTAGAAAATACTCGAACAGAGCTTAAAACTAGCAATGAAATTAATGAAAAGTATCTAAGGCAACTGACAAATATGAAATCTGTTTTACAAGACAAAATTGATGAATTCGATGCCTTGAATATCACATTTTCGAGTGTTGAAAATAAAAACAACGATTTGGAAATAGAAATGAAAAAGTTAAAAGAAGAAATTCTGTCACTGAAGAGTCTTGGTAGAAGTTCTGGTAGTTCTGAAAGCCTTAGATCAGCTTCTATTACGTCTGCCTTGATGTCTGCAGCAAACGATATTAGTGTTGGTAAATCAGCTAGAAACGAAGCAGCTGAAAAAAGAGAATCTTCATCACCAAAGTCAAAACCTAGACAACATTTTACTTCAACATTGCCTTCAAAAGTAAAGCACGATTTAATCGCGCACGACAGCGAAGTAAACGCTGTTGTATGGTTGCCAAAAATGTCGTGTTTTTTAACTGGTGGATCAGATCGCAAGGTTAAGTTTTGGGAAATGTGCGATAGTGGCATCGAATTGCGAGAAAATATTCGTGGCTGTAATTCTTCCATTCTTTCCATTGATGTTGATCCAGAAGCAAATTTATTGTTATGCGCATCTTCTGATTTTGCTAGTCGTGTATGGACAATGTGGGATTTCATGATACGGCATACTTTAACTGGACACAGTGGTAAAGTTACTTCTTCGAAATTTATGAGTGAAACTAACAGAATTGTATCTGGCAGCTCTGATCAGACGTTAAAATTATGGGACTTGCGTCAAAGAGTTTGTATTGTGACCTACGGCACTAATGCTCCTGTAAATGACGTAATAAGCAGACCCAGCAATTTTGTGATTAGTGGTCACACGGACAAGAAAATACGCGTTTGGGATCCTCGTGTTGGAAATGAGATTACTCACCTAGCATGTTCGAAAGCTGTGACGTCTTTGGATTTATCCAGAAATGGCTATCTACTTCTAGCTTCAGAGCGTGGCGAATGCTTGAAACTATTCGATTTAAGAGTTTTTAAAGAGACTTTTTCTTTGCAAGAACCTGGTTTTGAGATTGCCTGCGATTTAACTCGCGCTAAATTCAGCCCTGATTACAAATATTGTTGTTGCGGTTCTAAGAACGGTTCTATTTATTTGTGGAATGTGGCATCTGGTAAACTTGAAAAACAATTAAAAGGTCATAACTCTAGTGTAACATCATGCTGTTGGAGTTCTTGTGGCTCATATTTAGCAAGCTGTGATAAAAATCGACATTGCCTTATATGGAGCTGATAAATGAATATTTTTAGTTAAAAATTATGCCTGAATGTTAATTTTCATTTCTTAATGTATATTCTGATTGCAATTTGTACATTTTATTTAATAACTAAATGCATTGCAATAAAAAACTACACCTTTCTTTAACAATAGTAAATATATTTCTTTTTTAAACGCTCTGTATTACTTCATATTTTGCTAAACACAAAAAAATTACAGTGGACTTTACAAGTAAGTTTATGAACTTAATTGTGAATTTGAATGTGTTAATATATATTTCCTTGCTCTGCTTGCATCATCAAATAATGAAGTAAGAATCTATACTGGCTAGAACTTCGATTGCAAAAAAAAAGTTTCTAATATGATGTCAGACATTGACTTCCAGTTTTTGACATTTTCTATGAACTCCGAAATTGAACATGAAAAATCTCCGAATAACTCTAGATTTTACGAATAAGTTATGTCAGAAAAACCTAAAATTTCTTTTGATTTCTATTAAATTAAGTACGATGTAATATGCCAGATAAGTCAAAAATTCTTACAAATCAAAATTTTTTGGATGTAATGATAATGATAAAATTATCCAAATTTTAATTTGAATATGATAATATTTTTATTACATCTCAATTTTTTTTAATTTATGAATTTTTTTTTTTAATCTCAACTTTTGATGAGTAATTAAAGGCCTTCCATGAAGCAGCGCTATTTTTTGTGGGCAAAATAATATTGAGCACATTATGAACATCTGAAAAAAGAGTATGTTTTTGAACTTAGCCCTTAAGTTAGTGCCTAGTTTAGTTCACATTTTGAAGGGGGAAAATTCACTAAGAAATATTTGAATTTTATTATAAATATATATATTTTAATTGTATTTGCACATTATCTGGCATTATAACCAATCAAATCGATATTAAAAAGTTTGGCGTATTAACATACACGCACCGCAATCAAATTCTACAATCAATAACAACCGTTAAAAAATCAGTTACAAAGAGTGTAAATATTTGGTGTCCCAAAGTACATATCTAGGCGAGAAAGAAACAAAGACGATAACGAAATCTGTCGAATCACAAAGAAGAAGGCTGGAATGAAACTATTAAAGCCGGTTTGGTTGTCTGATGAAACTTTCTAATGATTTACACTTAACACGTTTTTGTTCCTACAAGCAATAAAAACTGGTTTTGATATTTGTAGTAGTGTCTTCTTCGCTATGATTTGATAACGAGTGTTTTTGTTTCTACATCATTGCTCAGATATTAATAGGCGACCTCTAATAGGTTTTTTTNTTTTTTTTTTTTTTTTTTGAAAAAGATTCCGAAACTATAGATTAATGATGGTTATAATAGAACACCCTGTATGGAAGGATTAAATGAAAAATAAAGCAGTGAAAGTTAAGAAAAGTCTATTCACACTTTGATTCGAAGTCAAGTGCTTCTTCCCTTCTCTTGCTTCGGTTGCATTTCATCTTTCGAATTTCTATGGAGCGTTTCCTTTAAGACTTTTATTTTATAACCGTTGTCGGAGAGCCGACCCAATTTTCGGGTTTACGACTACTAATGTTCAACTCCATAACCTTGTAATTTAGAAGACAATAAACACCTGGATCAAGTATTTAGCGAAAATTGCCTTCGTGGAGGACTTTATGATGGAACTAGCCTGCATTTGCGTTACATGGAGAGAAAAACCACGAAAACTTCCCACAGTTCGTCTGGTGGCAAGGTGGCTACAACCCAGGATCCGTCAACCACTGAGAATACTTTAAGTCAGTGCTGTGTTCGGTGCGAGCCATCGCTGGGTTTCGAACCCGGTTCTCGTCATTGGAAGGCAAACGTTCTATCCCCTGAGCCACAACGGTTCCTTTAAAATTTATTACAATGAAGATAGT